GATCAGAATATATTATTCTACCCCTCCTGGGTGAAAACCCTAGGGTCGGGAAAAACACGAAACATCCATTTCTCCTCCTTTTCTTCTTCTTCTTCTTCTTCTTCTTCTTCTTCTTCTTCTTCTTCTTCTTCTTCTTCTTGTTCTTCTTCTTCTTCTTCTTCTTCTTCATTTTTCCTCTTCTCTTCATCTTTCTTTTCCATTTTTCTTCTTCTTTTTATTATTATCAAGGATTAAGCTTTGTATTTTGGGATTTAACACTTGGATTGAGATTAATTGTAAGTATTTCTTTCTCTTATTTAATTCATGAATAATGGTTGATTTGAGAGGAATGATTATGTGTGTTAAATTCGATATACGTAGCTAATTCTGATTGCTAGGGATAGGGGATGATTGTTCCTGTTTAATTCGTATCTGTCAGGCTTGATTTATTCGTTCTTGTGTGAGTTAATTTGATTAGAGATTGATGAATTCTTGCTTGATTGATTGATATAATCAAAGAGTGACACTTCGATCTTGCAATTGGTATCAATTGAATGTTAATTTGTCGAGTTAGGGTTTGTTGATTCTATATGATTAGTTGATTAAACACTTTCTAATTAAATTAGTGACTTTTAGACCCGTAAGGGGAGAAGTCATAGACCTAGGCTCGTATGAGGTAGATAATATCGTAATTGAATAGTATATAGGTTTTGGATTGAAATACGTGATTTTCGATGACCTATCCCTTGTTACGAAAAGTTATTGGGATTGGGATAATTGGCATGTGTTGTATGCTCGACCTTGCTCGTCTATGTTCAATCCCTTATTACAAAGAGTTATTCGGAGCGAACCGCTAGATGTATAGGTGAGAGCGTCAATCTGGAATAGAGCGATTAATGTCCCCGTTTGGCGAATAGAACTTGAATTGATTATCCCCGACTCCATAGCTTCTCCATCGTTAGTTAATTCTTATTTAGGTAGATTTATATTTTTGCATTGTCCTTTATTTCTTAGTTTATAATACCAAATTCATCTTGATTAGAATGTTTAGGATTTTATTTTCTTTTTGTGTGTGACCGATACCAAAGCTAAATTCCAAACCGCCTTCCTCGAGAGATCGACCCGGGGAACAAATCTTTCGATTCGGTACTCGGTAAAATAAAAATAATTTGTACACAACAATGCCCATTCTACTCCTCCGGAGAATAAGACATCGGAAGAGTATGGAGGGTATCAACATCAATTTGTTGACAATCTTCATGCTCGCTGCTACATGTTAGCATCCATGTCAAATGAGCCGCAGAGGCAAAATGAAGCATGAAGAATGCTTGTGAGATCCTTCTTCACCTACAAAAGTTATACGCTGAGAGGACTAGGCAAATTAGTTATCAGATATGTAAAGAGCTTTTTAGATGCATATGATTTGGGGCTCTTCAATCCAAGACCATGGGCTGAAGATGAGAGCTTTCATTGAAAGACATACATCCCTTGGAGCCATTATGGACATTGAGCTCTATGTGGACCTTTTGCTGCAATCTCTGTCTTTCTCATTCGATACCTTTGTTGTTAACTTTAACATGCACAATATGGAGACTTCTCTCCCTGAGTTGGTGAACATGTTAAAGACAGCTGAATCCACGATTAAGAAGAATAAGTCGGTGCTTCTTGTTGGATCCACTTCTGGATCGAAGGCATTCATGACTAAAAAAAGGAAGGGGAAGGAAAATGTTCCCTATAAGCCTAACAAGAAAGCAACGGACAATGAGGCGAAGGACAAGGGAAACTAAAAGGTTAATTCTCAGGCTAATCAAAAGTATTTCCACCGTGGAAAATTGGGGCACTGAAGAGATATTGCAAGGAGTATCTTTACAAGACTGAAATGTTCAAGTATTTATTTTATTGAAGTTGACTTATCAGTTAATGATTCTTCTAGTGTATTAGATACTGTTTGTGGCTCACATATTTGCAATGATTTGCAAATAATGGCAAGAAATAGGAAGCTGGACAGTAAGAAAATTGTCCTTACGATGGGCAATGGAGTGAGAGTTGCTGCACTAGCTATAGGAACTATTTATCTAACTTTGAATAATGGTGTTAGTTTATGTTTGAACAAATTTCTTTATGTTACGGATATTATAAGAAACATTATCTCTATTTCGATTTTGGATAAAGAAGGTTTTAAGTTTGTTATTGAGAATAGAAATTGTTCTATTTTCAAAGATAATGCTTTTATATATTCCGGTCATTTGACAAATGGGTTATACACTGTTACACCTCAAAGTCCCATCCTAACTATTCAACAAAATAAAAGAAAATTAGATAATCATAGTTCATTTACACTTTGGCATGCCAGATTGGGTCATATTTCTTAAAAGATAATTCAAAAATTGGGACCAAAACTCAAATTAAGGGGACAGGATAAGTTGCCTACATGTGAGGCATGTCTTAAAGAAAAAAATGACAAAATCACCATTTGTTGGAAAAGTGGAGCGAGCTTAAGGTCTTGATTCATACAAATGTTTGTGGACCACTAAATGTTAGTGCGAGAGAAGAATTATCACTACTTCATAACCATTATCTATGATTTCTCTAGGTATGGTTATATATACTTTTTGAGGTATAACTCTGAAGCTTTTAAAAAGTTCAAAGAACTTAGATGTGAGGTGGAGAAATAAAGTGGTTGTAGTATTAAGTCGCTTCGATCATATCTAGGAGGTGAATACTTGACCACCGAGTTTCTCGGTTATCTAAAGGAGAATGGGATTATCTCACAGTGGACTCTTCCTGGTACTCTACAGCTTAATGGAGTTTCAGAATGTAGGAATCGGACCTTGTTAGACATGGTTCGGCCAATGATGAGTTTACTACTTTAACTCTTATATTCAGGGGATATACCTTAGAAATGGCGGCACATCTATTAAATAGGGTACCAAGTAAAGTCGTGCCTAGCACATCTTATGAGATGTGGTATGGCAAAACAAATTCTTACAATTATCTCATAGTATGGGGTTGTATTGCTTACATGAAGCGGCATGTGGGAGATAAGTTGGATACAAGCTCTATCTTATGTAGATTTGTGGGGTATCCATGTGAGTCTATAGGATACTATTTCTATGACCCTTCTCTACGAAAGGTGATTGTTTTGAAGAATGTATTTTCTTAGAAGAAGAGTTTCTCTCTGATAAGAATTGAGAGGTAATAAAACTTAATGAAGAACAAGAACCAATAAGTATCCACAAGTTATCGCAGATAACACACCAGTTGACACTAGACCGTCTGAGGAATAACCTTTTCGGAAATATGTACGGGTTTTTAGAGCGCTTGAAAGGCTGAACCTTTTGTTAGAGAACAAAGAAGTGGAACTCTTTTTGGAAAATGATCCAACAAGCTAGTAAGAGGCATTGTCGTACATTAACTCAAATAAATGGCAAGAAGTTATGCAGTCCGAGATGGACTCCATGTACTCAAA